TAGAACCAGTAACAAAACAAAAGGAAAACAAAACTTAGTCTTTGTCTCACTGTGCTACTCTGTCTCTATTACTTTAATTGCAGGTGAAATTATAGGGTCATTTCTTTTCATACCAGCTGACATACTGCGGTCAGATGAGTGAAGCGGACAGACTGGTAAAACCAGATGTCACAGAAATATCACCGACAAGAGACAGGGGCGTAGAGCAGATTTTTTTTTTTTTTTTTTTTAAAGAAGTGGTTTTAAAATCACTAACAGTTGGGCCACACCAACTTTTAACAATGAAGCTTTAAACCTTTAATATTTACCTACAGACTGTGAAGACTTGACAATGGCAGATGAATGCTCTGTGGTTGACACAGAGTAAACACAGAAGGACAGACCTCCTTCACTGACAACATGCAGTTTTGTTTTCTTTCTCCTATCAACGTGTTCTTTGTTCTCAGTTCACATGTACTTTTTCTCCCCTCGTTACTCACTCTGTGCTGGACATGAAGGGACACGCTCTGCTTCCTGTGAGGACAGAAGAAAAAAACAACCAGCCATCATCTGGATCGTAGATTTCCTTGCTTCCTTTTTCTTTGTTTGTTTGACTGAACAGATGTTTTAATGACATTCATTCTTGAATTGGTTAACTAAAAGGTTCTCTGCTGATATCTTACTCTGTGGACACGGATTAGCTAAATGTCAATGTGTGCATCACAGTATGTGTTTCCTCACAGTCAACTGGGAGGTCAATGCAAGTGTGTGGCAGGCACAGGCCTCGTCCAGATTTCCACTATTTTTCTGCCTTTCTGCTCTTACCTTGGCTGAGAACGGGGACTTAGAGGGCGCTTCAACACTGGGCGTGTGTAGAGCAGTCAGGAGAGGAGGCCAGGCATGAGTCATTTCCTGTAGTTAATAACGAAGAGCGTACTGCTGGTTATAAGCATAGTGGAGGACTCAGCTTCAAATCACAGACTGGGCGTCATGTTTTACTGTCCATTCTAATGCAGGGGTTCTCAAAGTAGGGAGCGGGCCCACATAGGGGTTGTGTAGCAAAGTGTATCTGTATTCGTGTCACAGGAAGATAACTGCATTGTAACTTCAATTGTTTTACTTGTATTTTTTTTTTGGTCACAGTGCTATACTGTAAATAAAATAAAGAGGAAACGTTTTATTAGCTACTTTATTAGCATTAGCTATGAATGCGTTGGCATGTGGCGGGCGAGGGGGGAGGGGCGCTGCAGAGATAGGGGATTGGAGATACATTTGAGTTTCACTTCTGCATCTTTTTTGATAACAATCATCTTAACGTTTGCATTGGTCACAAAAACAGGAGTGAAACACAGATATGGACCTGCTGTTATTAGTCTTTCTGTGTCAGCAGTGTACAGGGAAAAAACGCTCTTTGTAATATTTAGGAATGTGATTTACCATAATAAATACAGATAAATCCACAGACAGCCCATAACAGAACAGATTCATTTTAGTCAGTACTATTTACCCTTCTGTGATTTCCACAGAAACACAGGAATCAGCCACCCTTCGATGGTTTTTTTAGATTTATTTGTATAAACTTTTTTGGTCTTACTTGGCTTCTATCAATAAACACACAACACGCGTTTATTACATTTATTTGTGCCAAACGGATCAGACTGATGTGCAAGTGCAGTAAAATAAATGGACCTACCCTTAAGATGTCTTCAACACAGAGGGCTTCATTTGTCTTGGTCTGTAAAAGTGAAACAAATATTTGAAGTTCAAACTGATTTAACTTGAACCTGGCCTAAACATACGTAGGGTTTTTCTTTGACATTCTCACGAGTATTGCAAAAGCTGCTGTTTATCTTAGAGCTCTGCAGATCAAGGAATGGCATTTAAATGAGATCTTGAGCCTAGTTATATTCTTCTGGCATATAAAAATGTCCACTTTCATTATGGTTGGTCAAGACCACAGAAGCACTGAAACAAACCAGACAAGGGGAGAACAATGAGAGGCCGCATTAGAAACATCTGTCCGTATGATGCAGGGTTATGTTGGGAGGCTGTTGTGTGACAACAAGCTTGTCCTCAAACAGTGGACAAGTTGTTGCAACACCACCTATCAGGCTGCGACAAAGGCTGACCTCAAAAAAAAAAAAAAAAAAATCAGATAAACAGCGTGTTTGAATTGAGTCAACAATCAGAATTTCAGTTTGTTTTCAAACCTCTCTTTCACGTATTTCATTCTGAATGGACACTGAGGAGATAAGGTCAGACTGAATGGGCCCTAAGTTATGCAAGTGGGTGACAAAGCTCATTTATTGTTCTGCTGATGACAGGGTGAAGGTATGATGGTGGGGGGGGGGTAGCTCAGGGCTCACACAAACACAGAGAAATGATACCAGTCAGAGTAGACTTGGTGCCAATGTCCCTAACTTTAACATTTGACATCACCAGTGACGCACAGACAGGGACTGTGGTGCCAAATTAACAGGCAAATTAATTTGTCCTGCCACATATTTTCATACAAACAACATTCCGAACGTCACTAGTCCCAGAAAAACCAGTCCAGCGGTAAACTAGACGTCTAATTAACAACGTTTTCACTGCGTCTACAATCAGCAGTGACAGCTTTATGAAAACCTATTTCGTTAAAAAAACAAACAATTCAAAAGTTATGCAGTGTGAAAGCCTCACACACTCGGTGCAGGAGACAAACTTAAATAAGGAGTGGAGCTGCTGAGCAACGGAGGAATGAGTCACAGCTTAGATATCCTGCTCTGGATTAGTCCCAGCAGTGAAAACAGCAGCACATTTAGCAGAGCGGCTTTTCTGCAGCAGGGAAAGTGGGGGGAGGGAGGGGGGCTGAGGGGGGGGTGAAGAGCTGCAGGTGCAAGGTTTGTGTACGTGTGTGTGTGTGTGTGCGTGCGTGGCCTTAAGTTTATGTTTGACAGAGATGAATAGAACCTAGTTCAGTCAAACCGCTCAAGGCGCTGTCTGAAAGGTCAAAACAAAACATCAGAATTATGAAAAACACATTTCATCCCTGATTCCACTGGTCTATTTATATTGCATGAAAGTTCAAGGTATAGAAGTTCTGAATTTTTTTTTTTCTTGTTTCAACCCACACGGTACTATTTCTGAGCAGCCATCTTCGGCTAACCTAAATATTCTTTTCTAAATTCTGACCTTTTCAGAAGACTTTGATCTAAAGCTGAAAACTACCTTATACCGAATTAAACAAGAGGAATATCTAATTAAAAATAAGAATAATCTTCCATTTTCTGGCCCTGCAACAAACGAGTGGTGAGAAACGACAAGACCAAACTCAGTGGTTCTCCACAAAGAAGAAATACCACACAGGATGTTCAGCAGTGCCGTGTCACAGTGGTTCATTACAACTACAACTGCTACTTACTATATCCAACAACTCCATCCTAATTCTACCTTATGATGGTTATGATTAGTATTAGTCCTCAGTAAAAGAGATTAAATGTCTTGTTGTGTTTTGGTGCCAAAAATTACCCAGAATTCTCAGCTAAGCCAAGTCTACAAGATGATCCACTTACCAACAACGGTGGAAGGGTCTTCATTTTCCCCGGTTGAGACTTGTTGATTATCTCTGGCAGTGGTGCGTACGGCTCTGGTGACGGCTTCAGCTCAGGAGAATCGCTAATCACCTGGTCCTGCCCGTCCATGGGCCGCACATAGGCTGTTGGTTTCTGGGTCATGACTACACTGGGCTGCTTAGATGGAAGAAGTGGAGGAAAAGTCTGGGATGGAAGTGTCTTGGTGCCCTGAGTCAGGGACGACTCTTTAGGGGACAGATTAGTGTTCAGAGCGAGAACATCCACACAATCAGAAGGATAATCTGATGACTCCCGGTGCCTAGCTGAGGTATCCCTGGTGTCCATATCATTGTTATGGGAATGTGGCAATTGCTGGGGCTTATCATCTGACATGACATCTGACGAGACTTCAGTTTTTTTTTGTTGCTGTTGTGCCGAGTTTCCAGTCCGTCCGTCCTGACCTTGGTTCAAGGAAACCTTCGATGAAGTGGACGGATGTCCGTGGTGGTGAGGAGACCTGGCAGCAGACACCGTTACAGACTCAGAGGAGTAACTGCTACACGTCGGGTTTGAGGTTGACATGTAATGGACCTGATGGTGGAATGGAGCTTTAGTTGACTTGTCCGTATTTGGCTGACACTGATCTGACTGTGCAGCAGTGACAGAACCAGGAATGGGTAAAGGCTCCATGGTGAGGGGACTTGAACTGTTCACGTCCTCATAACTGCCCAGCATCCTTTGGATACGGTTGGCCAGTTCATCACCCTTGTTCACCTGTCCACAGAGAGATAGAAGTGTCATAACTATCTCATTTACAAACAGGTTTTCAGAAAAGTGAATTTAATCTTAACATACCTTGACAACCTTAGTTTGTTTAATATATAGATGTTTAAAACTCTGACAAGGTTTTACCACCATGCAACTGTTGACTTTGTCAAGAGACAGAGATTTTCTAAAGTAACTCATAGCCAATATTGTGGTTTCTAACATGACATTTTCAGCAATCATAGCCAATATTGTGCTGGAAAAATGTGGTTTCTAACATGACATTTTCAGCAGGGACCGTTTTATTTTCTACCATTTAGAAAAAGGTTAAAACAAATTCTTACCCATTTTTAAAAAGCTTTTAAAAAATCCCAGTCTTTTTCTGTCTTTAATGATCATTGTAAAGTGACCCATTAGCAGTCCTGACACAGTGACTTATCTTGACTTTACCTTGTACGGCTCCCCAAACAGTGGCACATTCTCGTGGTTAAGTCCTTTGGCTTGGTTGGTGTCTTGGTTCCTCTGTTCCCATGCTCGGAGGCGGAGGAGGTTTCTTTCTTCATTGTATACACTACACAACATTACAAAGAAACAGAGTCTCCTAGATTAAGCCTGCAGGGACATTCTGAAGGTTCAAGATTTAAGGGTGTTTCCTTTTAATCCTCGTTCTGTTTGTGTGCAACAAAATGTTTGTTAAGGTAGAAGTAGAAGAGCTGCATTTGAGACAAACCGACAGAAAATAAAAACACTATATATGATGTAAAAATACTGTACACAATATTGTTAAAATAAAGTAAAAGATAATGTATATGGCAGATGTATGTGTATATACATATATATATGTTTATACTCTACATATATACAGATACACACATATGTACAGACAGACAAATATTCATATATTAAACACTATATAACACACAGAAATAAGACCAGAGAATGAAATGTAACATGATAAAAATAAAATAAAGATATAGTAATAAATAATAAAACATAAATCAGCCACAATATAATTCACATAAGAATTTATCTACTTGACAACAACAACTTATTAAATCAAACTCTGTAAAACATTAAAATAGAGAATTGGATTAAGATATTTGACACTCACCACTGAGCTGTGCCTTAGATCACAACACAACCTGTTCCACATTCTGCTATTTAACATTAACTCAAGATTTTTGTTCAGTTTCTATGCAACCATAACAAACTACAACTACAAAAAACAAATCAAATCTTTACATTTTATTGTTTACTAAAGTTACTCAGATTTAAGGAGTGCAGAAAAGTGGCATCATACAGCAGACTCGTCGACCCGAGGGGCAGAGCTGCACCGTCTAATGGGAGAACATAATGCCCATCGAGCTAAGGCCAAGTGTAATTAGACTAACAGATGCCATGAGGATTCACCAAAACATCCACATCTGCTCTTTCTGGTCCCTGAAGATGTCACACAACCAATTCATGCAATAAAGCTAAAACTGCTATGATTGGGCCTCATCAAACATAGAAAAGCAACTGGCTTCATTTAGTGAAACTTACTGTTAAATAACAAGCTTGAACACGGGCTCCGTGCCCAGTTTATTACTTCCTACAGACTCAGGGTAACTGAACACTAACATGCTCAGATGTTTTTGGCAGATATTTCTCCCAAATTTAGGTGTTGATCAAGCTTACTGGCAGCAACCCCTATGGGATGCTACCATGGCAACAAGTCTAGCAAGTAAAGATTTGGGACCAAGCCAAACAGATGTGAACTTAGTCATCACAGTAACAGAGAAACTGGACTAACTGTGAGGACATCACAAGGATGGGTCAACCAAAGGTAAAGAGACGTGTTGACCCAAGACTGACCTCTCGAATCAATAGGTTGTTTTTTATTTGATAAAATAAATGTTGGCAAAGATTGATAGATGTACTTCATTGATCCAATGCTGAGAAATTACAGTCATAGAGAAGAAGGAAAGCCCATCTTTATTCTTGAAATATGAAGTCCTAATATTTTATGTAGCAACAATAAGCACAACGTTTGAGGGAACAAAAAAGAACAGGTATTAACAATGAGATGTAATAGAATATGAACAAAATCACCAAGTCTATCAAACCCAAGTGGCTACTTAAAAAAAAAAGAAGACGTTTGACCAATCCTTTTCAATATCAAGAATCTGACACTGTGATATTTAGCAAAAGAGTCTTCCCAGTATTATAATCCTTTGTCATCCTAATGCACAGCTCTGTAACTATAAACACTAATGGAGCCGTGAACTCATTTGGACCATTTCACTGATGACAGTAGTGCAGTGTTGACAATTGGTTTATTGTTTACCCAAAGTCACCTAGAGTGACCTGAAGTAAACATTGCACAGCTGGCCTTTAGATTAAGAGGACAAGACCATTATGTTTTGATGTTAGCACGCCGGCTGAAAAATGTAGCGTTTACAATTGGTTTTAACCCTGATTTGAAACTGTACAGTCCTGTCCTATGTTCTAACAACTTATAATGATAAATAATGATAATTCATAACTTCAAACATTAATGAGCCCGCTCCGGGAATTCTGTTGTGATAAGAGCAGAACTGCTCTAACAGACTACCCCTTGGGGGCACCAAGAACTATACGTGGTATATGTGGACCTTCTGCAAGTAAGGCAGATGTGTGAGCAGGCATGATGATAACCGCTACACTGTGGAATACTGTTCCATTTGATTCATCAATAATGGGGGTTTTTTTATACATTGAAAAAAGTCCATTTATTTTGGTCCATTCGCAAAACTTGCATGTGGTCTTGTACGGCGCCACTGCAGACGCTTGAGAGCCACAGGTTGAGGAACCTGTCCTAGTGCGTTGAAAAGTGGTCCTTTTTACAGTGGTACCTTCAATTCTGTACTTTTGCCAAAATTATTTCTACATTTATGTTCTCAACATGGAACAACAGATGGAAGTGTCTGTGCAGCTGAGGGAGGAAAAAACACTCACCCACCACAGAGTCTAAGCAGCATTCTTCTATGGGAATAATGCTAAATTTGCCTCTAGGTGTCTAAGTCCTGAATAGAAGTTAGTGACAAAGTCAAATAGTCAAATAGAGAGTGAAGACTGACACTGACAGGGTGACAGGCCAATTGGATCAGTTTATGGCGTCAGGTGTAGCATGGGGACAAGAAATACATTTCTGTGGGGTAAAAAGCTTTTCCAGGAGATTTGATTTTGGTTTTTTTTGTAATTATTCATTTATTTTTCATGAGTGGAATTTTTATCAATTTTCTTGGTTTTCTGATTTTCCAGAACTCATGGAAACTCCAAACAAATAATGCTGTATAGACAAACCCTCCTACATTGTATATGAAAGTAAAGACTGACACTGACAGGGTGACAGGCCAATTGGATCAGTTTATGGCGTCAATACATTTCTGTGGGGAAAAAAAGCTTTTCCAGGAGATTTGAGTTTGGTTTTTTTGTAATTTTTCATTTATTTTTCATGAGTGGAATTTTTATCAATTTTCTTGGTTTTCTGATTTTCCAGAACTCATGGAAACTCCAAACAAATAATGCTGTATAGACAAACCCTCCTACATTGTATATGAGCACTCACTTGACGTTTACATCATCTATAATACCAAAAAGGTTAGAGAGAAGAAAACAGGAAAACATGACAATAACCATAAATCAAAATAAATGACAATGATTGGTACTTGGGAGACATCAAGTAAAACGACTAGGAGTCAGGAGGACTTCATCACTAATTAGAACAGTACCTATAATGACTTGATAAAGGATCTAGTCTTTCAATTATAGAAATACGCTGAAAAAGTGTTGTAAACAAGGTTCAAAGTCCTTAAATGTAATTCTTCTGCCCACAAATGTTCTCTGTTTATCTTTATGGCGGAGAGAATAAAGCAGGACAAAAATCACATTTTTAAAAAGGCGAAACTAGAGGTGTTACAAATCGATTAAACATCAGCTCACCACTCTCTCAATTAATAGAAATCCTCATAAATAAACGAACTGCGTTGTGAATTTATCAAAGTTATTTTGAGTCATTAACGAAAAGTTTTAGTTCATTATATTCTCTTATTTAACATTTACCACAAACATGTTGTGCAGACACTGCTGAAAATGCCAACCTGAGCAGATTAGCTGTCGTAAACACCGGTGACCCGGACTATCAGCTGGGTTTAAAAATGAGTTCGGGCTGATTTTCCAGCTGATTCCTGCCTGTGCTCATTAAGAACACTGCAAAAACGTCACTCCTGCCTGACTTATTCTCCCATTTCATAACTTTTACTGAAAGTTTCACACTCACACGGCTAGCCGCTGTTGTGCACGTTAAATTTACCAGTCAAATTTAGACTCCGCAGTGGGAGTGCGGAGCAACGGCCCCGCAGCTAGCAGTTAGCCGCGGATGAGTCTGCCTACCTCGGCTGAGATGCCATGGTGCTCCTCCTGCTGCTGCTCGTCGTGCTGCGGCTCTGGCTGCAGGCGAAGTTGGCTGTCATGTGCTGGTGACAGTCTTCAGCGAGCTGCCCCTCTTGCCCCGTCACATTGTGGTAGCTCTGAATTGGATTAGTTCATTTAAAATCACTGTCAAACGGCAGTTGTTTACGAATTGTCTACTAGTTCCCTGCGTGTTTGGGTCGACACTCGTCTCTTCACTGCTGTCCACTGGACTGTTCTACTCTTCAACCACCCGGGGACCAGGAGCGGATTTATACACTCAAAACTGCACTGAACTCTCACAAAAAACACCCAACATACTAATTTAACCGTTCACAGAATTAACACATTAAAATGGCTACAGCAAACGCAATAATTATTACTCTTATTTCTTTATTTTTATAGTTTGACCAAACTTTTAAGCGCTACCCCTGTGTGTCCGACATGGTACAGTCATCTGCTATCTGGGACTGAGTTTTTCTCTTACTTCAGACTGTCGTCGCCAAGGAAGACATTTATTTATTTTTTTAGCTGTAGTATTTTTAATGAACACCTTTATAAATATGCTGGTTCTCATAAGTGGCGATTCCGTGGCCATTTTGAATGATCTGACTGTCTATTAATTATAGTCTGGGCTTTTAAAGTGAAGTCCTGATCAACTTTTAGCATTTTTCTTGGTCACGTGGTTTTCTTACTCCACAGCTTTTTGTTGCCTGTAATAGTATATATATTTTTTGTAAATCTTTGTTACATATAGTTAATTATTTAATTAAACGTTTTCCAGAATTTGGCCTTTTTAAAATAAGAAAAATGTATTTAAATGATATCAAATAATCTATCTTCTTGGTCTCTTTGGACTACATTTGGGTTTTGTTTTGTTTTGTTTTTTGTTGTTGTTTTATTTTGTATTACTGTACTTATTTGTCAGAAGTTCTACTTGACGGAATTTAGACATTTCAGATAAGTTTATATTTTTCCTGTCTGGGTTGTGATTTTTCTGTGCAAAACGCCCCAATAATGAGGCATTTTAAAGGTAATTTTGTATCTTACGAACATTTCCTAGCCCTTTATTTTCCTCTAAATGAGATTTTAATTCCGCGGCCACACTTTAGCACCTGTGATAATGCAGTTAATAAATACATCGACGTGACTTTTAACAACAATGTTGTTTAAATCAGCAACACATAAGACAGTTTATATAAACGCTAGTGTCACAGTACATATACTGTAGATATAGTTATCACAAAAGAATCCCCCGCCCCCATAATGTACCACAATCCCTCACATATATTTGCACTGTGGTTGGGTTGCCATCCAGTGGTTAGATGACACATTACTATTTCTCAGTGGAAGTCCAGTAGGTGGCAGTACATTATTTCCAATGTAGTACCTGAATAAATCACAAACAGAGCTGAAGCTTCATCTTTTATGAAACCACTAATATAATTACACAGCAACGATGTCTATGCGTCTCAAAAACATACATACATACATACATACATATATATTAACAGTTATCCATTATCAATATAATTCTACAGTTAATGGCAGGAACAACCAACACATCTCATATGCACATTATAATCTTTATGGAACCTTGCCTCAGTGAATACATCTAGAACTTCGGCTGTAACAAAGATGAACACGCAAAAGCCATCAAATACATTGTTTATATGTAGAGTATTCAAATATTAAAAAGACTGTAGTAGAGTAAAATTCATACTCACTCTGATATGTTTACCATGAGAACAAAGACCATCCTCTTATTTACCTCACCATATGTAACATTAAGTAGAAAGATAGGATTTCAGTAGTACACTGTCATGTTATATTACCAAGATAACACATATTTAAAAAAAAAACACAATTAAATAATACTTTTTTTCATTCACTGAACAACGCCGTACTACTTTTGAAGTATCTGGATCAACAACAGATTTAAGCCAGTGTAACATATTGTTCCAACTAATTAGCAGTATATCGTTCTAAATGGCATGTATTTAAGTCAAACCTTTTTAAATGCATTAGTTTGACAGTCAGTCTAGAAGGCTATGCACTGCTGGAATGTAGCAAATACACAAAACAAGTATATATATAAATTATTTATATATATATTTATGTAATATCAACTTTGTTTATTCAGATTGTTTTTTTAATATCTATTTTTCTATATCTCTTCTCCTTGGCCTTTGTTTTTGTTTTGTATTTTTTGTTCGCAAGAAGACGTTGACTGTCTGATTTTATGTTATTGCTATTTTATGTTTTAATGTTTAATTACATTGTTTATTATGTTTTATTATAATGTTTATTATGTAATGATGTTTCTCTTTCCGATGCTTTTATTTATGTATCTGTACACTTTGGCTAACAGTTTTATAACGAGACCTTGGAATATGTATACTTTCCAAAAAGGCAGCTATCGATGAACTCGTAGTGATGAAGACCGACTCTTTTTATTGATTCGAATCTTTGACTCTCGAAAAGTAAAATGAACGAGTCGGGAACGAATCTTGAACTAATCATTTCATTCGTTTTACAGCAGGTGGCGCTTTAGCTCTATTGTGGGCGTTGTAAAGAAGGCTGTGGTTCTCCGACACTAAATACTGAAGGCAACATGGTTTGCTTCTGCTGACAAAGTCTACAAAGTACACAAAATGCCATAAGCAATTAAAGACATGCGAAAAGCTAAGAAATAGAACCACACCACAATGTGAAGATGAATGAGAGCAAAAGAGACCCGAGCTCTGAAATGAAGCGAATCTGCGAGAACGAAGCGAAAGATTAGTTCACAGCAAAATATTAGTTCACAGCGAAAGATTAGTTCGTAGTGAAAGATTAGTTCACAGCCATAGATTAGTTTGCAGAGTGATTTGTGAGCATTTTGAACGAATCATACGAACACATTTCATATGACTCGGGAGTCACGAGTTCATTTTGAACGAATCACTCGCGAACGACACATCACTAATGGAAACTGGAAAAAACATCTCAATGAGTTAATAAATGTACGGAGTTAATCAGTTTTAAACGCATTTTAACACGTAGAAATAGTGGGAAACTGCCGAGTAAATAAGTCAGACAGATATGAACAAAGCAAGTTTTGTTTTCTTCCGCTCAACAAATCAACAAACAAGTGATTAGTACCCTTAGCTAATTATTAGCTTATGGTCTTTATCTAATTACACACCAACAATGACATAAGAGAAATCTTTTTTTTAAAAAAAGGGAAAACAGTGATACAAAGGGCATCTGTCTGAACTGCCTTTTTATAACAGTGCATCTTCTTAATTAGCTTAATGATAATCCCTCGAGAGGTTTTTCTTTCTTTTTTTTTAGTAAAACATCCAGATGGTATGTTTTATCCCCCGCTTTGTTAGTTCGACTCAATTGAATTCCTCTTCCAGAAAGTGACCACAAACGGAGGACATTTCAACCATCTGTCCAACAGGTTGTCTTGCTGATTGACGATGCGAATGCAGAAGAGCATCTCAGACTCTTGCATGCTGAAATGCCCTGTGACGTCATAGCGGAGGCCGCAGTCCTCCGCCAGCGTTGTTGGACTGGTGTGTTCAGTCAAACGGTTGTGTCCACCGTCAGTAGATTGGACGTCCAGTTGTCCATGTCCAACTGCAGATATGTTCACAGGTAGCACCACGTAGGCACTGTGATAGTTCTCACCAATGATGCACTGTAGCTCTATGGGCCAGCAGTATTCACCAGTATTTACTCCTGGAAAGAAGAAGTGATTTAGTGTCTGTGTATATGAGTTCATAAGCTACTGTTTTAACACACAAAAGACACGCATAAAAGCAAGGGGAGTGACTAATGAGTAATGGGAGTTTTATGTGGACATTTTACTTTTGGCTTGGGCTTTTAATATATAGTATACAGTACACGAGGTGTGGGCAAACTGTTTGATCCGTGGGCCACAGTTGGTCCTAAATTTGACAGGGGGGCCGGGTCAGGAGCCGATAGATGGAGCGTTCATGTGAACCAAGATAAATGACATGTAAAAGTCATGCATAAAGGCTAAATTAAAGGCTAAAATGCTTTTTAGCCTTCTCTATGCCATATTTTCATATATTTTCTATAGGGAAAATATGGGCATTGGCGAGAAAAGGCAGAAGTAAAATCACAATACAAACCAATGCTATAATTTGGACAAGTTTGACGGGCCGTATTACAAAGCTGAATGGGCTGCATCCGGCCCCCAGGCCTTAGTTTGCCCATGCCTGGTATACACCATACATACATATATACATATATATAGACATATATATATATATACAGTATATAAACATTTTTTCAACATGGACTAAATAAAATTGATTAATATCACAAATAAGCAGCATTATATATGAGACAATATATGAAATGACATATTTCTAAATATTTTTAAAATTAATTTAATAATCATATCCACTTCTCACTGCTCCTCAAGTTTGGGCACCACTTTATAAAATATATATGAACCCTGACCTTCCTCAACAGATGATCCATCAGCATTTAGAGCTGCTTATTTTTAGAACAAAGTACGAAGCACTTACATGGTGATATTTTCATGCTAACCCATAATGCATTTGAAATGTGATGATTCTTACCTTGGATTGAGTCGTGAAATCTTATGGTGTCTTTGTCCTGGAGTTGTAGTTTTCTGACGTACGTCAGTTCAGTGCAGTCCATTAAACAGCCATTTGTCACTATGTTGTTTTTCAGTTTTGGTCTCAGCAGGTTGTCCCTCTGCGAACATTCAACAGCCCCTGCAGCTAAAATAAGTGAGGGCAGTAAAGCGAATTGCCACCAAACAGAAAATGTTTTTAGCATCATTTTCTGTAAATCATTGAATGCTCTGTTGCGAGGTCAAATTCTCTTGTTCTCCTGCAAAGCTGCAGCTTTGCTTTGGATTGCGATCTATGGTTTATGAGCGCAGCCAAAGTGTCATCAGTGAAAATACAGGTAAATTAAAGCTCAAAGTACAAATGTACACAGTCTTGTCAAAAGCAAAAACATGCGTCTCTTCCCCTGACCAGCGCCTGAGTTTCTGAAGAACAGTGCCAACATTTCCTTTTCAGTTTTTTCCCTCCCTCTTCAACATTTCCTCCACTGCTTTTCCCTCCCTCTGGTTATGTGACTTTCTGGCAGAAATAAAAACTGATCAAGGGCCAAGAGTCAAATCAAGAAAATCCAGTGAAGTTTAAAAACACGTGACAACATGCATGGTGAATTAATCAACTTTATTATTATATTATTTAAGTTGTACTAATGTTTATATGATTATATAGAACAATAAAAAAAAAAACCAAAGTACCATGTAATGTATTGCAGCTGAGTGGCAGTTATCGCAAATATGTGTGGTGAGGTAAGATGAAGCATACAACAGTAAAAAGAACATTTAAAAATAAAACAAGATCACATCAAATAAGAAGGGTATCAATGACAGCTGCAAATACAATTACTCGTTATATATGAAAATAAAAGCAGTGTGAAACAAACATTCAGAATGATTTTCTAGATCATCACATGACCTGTAAATAGATGATAATCAAATTTAATAGCAGAATTAAAAATAGAAAAAAAACGACAATCAATGCCATGTTAACATTTTTTTTTGTTCTAGGTTTTCAGTAAGTTGGAACTTCTCTTTAAATATCCCTCTCTAAAAATTGCCTTTTTGGATGTGTTTTCTTTTTTTTTGCCAGTGATTTGCAGATTGATTTTCCATGGTGGGATTGAATTGACTCACAGTGCAGAAAGGAGACAACTGGCAAATCAGAGTATTTGGCTCCAACCAGTGTCAGATTCCTGAATGGAACACCAAGTAACCAAGTCCGGCCCTAATCATAGTTCTCTAAATTCATAAGCTTGGAGGTAAACAAGCTACAACATAAAATCAGCAAATCATATAACATGATTTTACAAATACATTTCAACACTGTATCATTCTCTCTGGTCGTAACACGG